CATTACCTATTCAGTTAGTGAAACCGTGAACTACCCGGTAGAGACAGTTCACTACCGATTAAGTTAGTGAAACCGTGAACTACCCGGTAGAGACAGTTTAGTATCTATTTAGTTAGTGAAACCGTGAACTATCCGGTAGAGACAGTTCACTACCGATTTAGTTAGTGAAACCGTGAACTACCCGGTAGAGACAGTTTCTACCTATTTAGTTGGTGAAACCGTGAACTACCCGGTAGAGACAGTTTAGTATCTATTTAGTTAGTGAAACCGTGAACTATCCGGTAGAGACAGTTCACTACCTATTTAGTTAGTGAAACCCTGAACTACTTGGTACAAAGAACTTCCTGCTTATTTAGTTAGTGAAACCGTGAACTACCTGGTACAAACAGCATACCACTTATTTATGTAGTGAAGCCTAAACTACCTGGTACAAAGAGTTTCGTGCTTATTTAGTTAATGAAGCCTGAACTACCTGTACAAAGAGTTTCGTGCTTATTTAGTTAATGAAGCCTGAACTACCTGTACAAAGAGTTTCGTGCTTATTTAGTTAATGAAGCCTGAACTACCTGTACAAAGAGTTTCGTGCTTATTTAGTTAATGAAGCCTGAACTACCTGGTACAAAGAGTTTCATGATTATTTACTTAGTGAACCCTAATTATCTGGTCCAAACAACTTACCGCTTATTTATTTGTTTTTCAAGGTGTCTTAGTTTCTGTTTGGTCATTTGTAGTTCATGTCGCAGTTTCCATAGCTGCGAGTCACAGACGGGGTCACGACACCGTTCATGTTTCACTGAACCTTGAGCTTCGTGGAGAGCTCCTTCCCGTCTATGTTTCACTAAACCTTGAGCTTCGTGGACAGCTCCCGCCCGTTCATGTTTCACTAAACCTTGAGCTTCATGGACAGCTCCCCCGAAACTCAGCGAGTTTCCCATGCTCTAGAAGAATGTAGACTATTTCTAATAATCTGAACATATAAATCCTGTCGTTTATGATAGAAGAATGTAGACTATTTCTAATAATCTGAACATATAAATCCTGTCGTTTATGATAGAAGAATGTAGACTATTTCTAATAATCTCAACATATAAATCCTACCGTTTATGATAAAAGAATGTAGACTATTTCTAATAATCTGAACGAAATAGTCTACATTCTTCAGGATTTATATGTTCAGATTATTAGTTTATATGTTCAGATTATTAGAAATAGTCTACATTCTTCTATCATAAACGGTTATGAGACATTCTTTAAATGTGCCAGTGTACAAGTTTTGTTATGAGACATTCTTTAAGTGTGACAGTATACAAGTTTTGAAATATGAGACATTCTTTAAGTGTGACAGTATACAAGTTTTGTTATATGAAACATTCTTTAAGTGTGACAATATACAAGTTTTGTTATATAAAACATTCTTTAAGTGTGACAGTATGCAAGTTTTGTTATATGAAACATTCTTTAAGTGTGACAATATACAAGTTTTGTTACGAAACATTCTTTAATTGTGACAGTGTATAAGTTTTGTCTTGTTATTCTTCACTTAGCAGCTTTGCTTCTACTGAGTAAAGCTGTTACCCAAAACAATAACATCTATTACTAACCCCATTTAAACATAATACAACTGAAACAGTATTATTGTAACGTGCTTAAAGTTTTTTACTGATTTTTAAGAACAGTATAGTCTCCGATTTGCACATTGAGTAAGTAATGACCAACGTGAAGACCAGTTAGGATAATACAATTCGCTTATCGACCACTGAATCTATTATAAGTATCCGACACGGCAGGCTGCTTCACACTCTTCAGTCTGGTAAGTACCTATATTATCCTAAAATACACCAGGAAACACCTCCCAAACACACTAACTTAAAGTTTTGAAATATGAGACATTCTTTAAATGTGACCAGTGTACAAGTTTTGTTATGTGTTTGAGAGGTGTTTCCTGGTGTATTTTATGAGAATATAGGTACTTACCAGACTGACGAGTGTGAAGCAGCCTCCTGTGTCCGTCTTTGGGAGGTATTTCCTGATGTAGCTAAAGTAGAAGTGTTCAAATCCTAGTAGGACAACGGCGAAGAGGATCCCACAGCCCAAAAGAAGAAAGGCACTCATGAACTGATCGATGTCCAAAGGGTTGGCACTGTTGCCTTTGCTATTTGATGGTTTGCAGGCTCCTTGTAGCCAGAATCTTTGAAGGCGCTCCAAGTCTCCTACCAAAAATAGGAGCCTGTTGTTAGACTCAAAGATACACAATGAACTATCTGTGTTCTGCCCGTTTCGAGTATCAAAACTCTAATTTTAGTGTTATCATTTTACAGACTTTTCCCGGAGACACGGAAAAGTGAATATGATGATAACCGTCTTCTGGGTTTAAACTTAACTTCTTCACATCAATAATACCTGCTAAATTGTCTGATCACATTCATCACAGCAACCTACTGTACGTAATGAGTATCTTCTAACCATGACAACCACAACCTTACTGTATGTACTGAGTATCTTCTAACCATGACCACCACAACCTTACTGTATGTACTGCATATCTTCTAACCATTACAACAACAACCTTACTGTATGTACTGAGTATCTTCTAACCATGAGAACCACAACCTTAATGTGTGTACTGAGTATCTTCTAACCATGACA